CTTTCGAGCGGATTGCTCCTTCTTCTGAAGTTCATTAGTCTGTTTCAAGCGGTTTGCTCCTGCTTCTGAAATTCTTTAGTCTCTTTCGAGCGGTTTGCTCCTTCTTCTGAAACTCTCTAGTCTCTTTCGAGCAGTTTGCTCCTTCTTCTGAAATTCCCTAGTCTCTTTCGAGCGGTTTGCTCTTCCTTCTTCCTCCTTCTGAAAGTCTCTAGTCTCTTTCGAGCGGTTTGCTCTTTCTTCTGAAATTTTCTAGTCCCTTTCGAGCGGTTTGCTCCTTCTTCTGAAATTCTCTAGTCTCTTCCGAGCGGTTTGGTCTTTCTTCTGAAACTCTCTAGTCTCTTTCGAGCGGTTTGGTCTTTCTTCTGAAACTCTCTATTTTCTTTCGAGCGGTTTGCTCCTCCTTCTTCCTCCTTCTGAAAGTCTCTAGTCTCTTTCGAGCGGTTTGCTCCTTCTTCTGAAATTCTCTAGTCTCTGTCGAGCGGCTTGCTCCTTCTTCTGAAATTCTCGAGTCTCTTGCGAACGGTTTGCTCCTTCTTCTGAAATTCACCAGTATTTTGCGAGCGGTTTGCTCCTTCTGGAATGCTCTAGTCTTTTTTCGAGCTGTTTGCTCCTTCTTCTGAAATTCTCTCGTATCTTTCGAGCGGTGTGCTCCTTCTTCTGAAATTCTTTAGTCTCTTTCGAGCGGTTTGCCCCCTTTTTCTGCAATTCTCTAGTCTCTTTCGAGCGGTTTGCTCCTTCTGAAATTCGCTAGTCTCTTTCGAGCGGTTTGCTCCTTCTTCTGAAATTCTCCAGTCTCTTTCGAGCGGCTTGCTCCTTCTATCCCCCCACTCTTAAAAATGAAACAATAGGGGGGGCACATAAATGAAATTCAATTTCCGGTTTCATTTTCGGTTTCCGTAGCTTCCATTAAGGGACTACCAGGGAATAGACTAGGGGGTGGTGTGCTGGGGAAGAGCTATAGGGTACATCCAGGTAAGTTGGGGGTATGTGCCATTCATATGGGGGGGGGGTCAAAGTAAGGGCTTGCATGTCGTGTTGTGTGCGTGTGCGAGATTGTGCGAGTGATTGCGAGAGTTTCTGCACTCAGCCGCGTCCTGTACAGCGCACGATGCACCACGGCACAGCAGACTTCCGCAAAACATCGCAAAACACATGATCTAGGATGGCTTCCAGGGCTTGCGTGGGCTTGCTACCAAACACATCCACACTTTGACTTTCCGAAACATCCCGAAACATGGGTCGCGGTCGAAAATGGCTGGCTGCTTGTGATGTGCCGGCCGGGGTGCGGGCGTGGCAGACGTCTCCCCCCAAGGAGTGCGCCGAAAGCTCAGATTCCAAAGAGATCCAAAGAGCATCTCAGAACTGTCGGTTCGTTGTTCGGAAGCTTTCGAAAATCTCTATCTGATTTCAGGGCGTGGCAGCATGCCCTGGCAAGACCATGGATGCGAGGTGGGATCCAGATCTTTTGATCTGGCGTGCCAGGCAGGCTCCTCTGTCTTGGGTTTGGTTCTGGCTCGGCAGATCTCGGCAGGTGCTCATGGAAGTTCACGACGGAGTCCGGGGCCATCAGACCGAGCCACCATGAGTATTGGACGGTTCCGGGAGGCTCCACGTGGCGAAAAGCCACTCGACCGCCTCCGAAAAAGCTCATTGAGGAGGAGCTGAAGAAGGCAGGCCGCTGAATCCAGACCATTCCGGAGGGATCGCATTTGTGAAAGGCCACCGAAGCCGAAGCGGCCATTGGCAACATCGGCAGTGAGGGGTCGTTCTTTGGGGCATTTGGGGTCATTCTGGTGCTCCCTGCCTGTATTTTTTTGTCTGACTTGTGGAAGGCATCAGAAGCTGAAGCAGCGAAGCACATTGGCATCGAGGCAGGTCTTTTGCCTGCTGAAGATTGCTGGGCATGCTTGAGTCGCTTGAGCTTACAGTCGCCCGTCCCCGCTCAGTATGCCCAAGGCCGGTAGCGATGTCAGAGGTCATAGGCAGCACATGGCAGCACTAACAGACGGCCAACGACAGCCACATGATGCCACATTCCTTCGGCTTATTTTCGACCTTCTATACATATATATATATATATATGCTGCCTCAGGGATCCTCAGGGGCAAACTTCAACTGGCTGCTATTAGCTGTCATGAAACCAAGCCTAGGCTAGGCAGAAGCGTCCTCGCATCGCCATGGCGGGGCTGCACCCTAGGCTGGTCGTCCGCCCGACAGCCCCCACGGCAGACGCGACTTCGCGGCTTGCCAATCCGAAGGGGTTTAGGGGTTTGGGGTTGATAGGGTATGATAGGGTTTAGGGTTTCGGCTTAAGGGTTTCGGGGTTTCCGGGCTGATAGGGTTTAGGGTTTAAGGGATTTTAAGGGGCTAGGGTTCGCTTAGGGTTTTAAGTGCGTGGAAAGGACCCACAGTATCCTGCTACGCCGCCAATGACACCTGGCTCCTGGACACCTGCATCCTCGACTACTTGGACGAGCCATTACTGCGACAGCCCGCACGGACCTGGCCATTTTAGTCCTCGCTACGACTCCCCGTGCTTGCCTGGCGACTCGGCCAGTCCGTGGACTCCACCGGAGATAGAGGACTCTGGGATAGTCTGGGGCACAGTTTTTTTTTCCCGGCTTAAGGGTTTGGAGGGTTGGGTTTGGGAGTTCAGGGTTTCAGGGTTTGGAGGTTTGGTTTTCGGGGTTTCTTGTTTTGTTCCTCATTCTGTTGCTCCCTGCAGAAGCGCCGCGACGTTGACGATGCCAAGACAAAGCAAGGATTCTTGGCTATTCCACCCAAATAAAAAATAAACCCCCCCAAACATCCCTAAGCCATCCTAAACTCCTAAAGCCATCTAAAGCCTCCTTAAACAAACTTCAGTCCTAAGGAGTGGCTATGGACGATGCAGCTGACACCGGCGATGCTGCGGCGGCTGGCTTGGGCGATGCTGCGGCTGGCACGGGCGATGCTGCTTTGGTGGCTGGCACGGGCGATGCTGCTTTGGCGGCTGGCTTGGGCGATGCTGCTTTGGTAGCTGGCGCGGGCGATGCTGCTTTCTGGCGCTGGCTCGGGCGATGCGTTCGTGGCGGCTGGCTTGGGCGATGCTTTGGTGACGGCTGGCTTGGGCGATGCTTTCGTGGCGGCTGGCTTGGGCGATGCTTTGGTGGCGGCTGGCACGGGCGATGCTTTGCCGGCGGCTAGCTCGGGCGATGCTTTGGTGGCGGCTGGCGCGGGCGATGCTTTGGTGACGGCTGGCTTGGGCGATGCTTTCGTGGCGGCTGGCTTGGGCGATGCTTTGGTGGCGGCTGGCGGGGGCGATGCTTTGGCGGCGGCTGGCTCGGGCGATGCTTTGGTGGCGGCTGGCATGGGCGATGCTTTGGTGGCGGCTGACACGGGCGATGCTGCGGCTGGCTTGGCGGCCGACATGGGCGATGGTTGTGCCCAAGCCCGCAAACATCAACCCTAAACCCCCAAACCTCAAACCCCTTAAGCACTTTAAGCCCTTAAGGCCCGTAAACCCTAAACACCCAAACCTCTCTAAACCCTGCAACCCTGGAAATCGCTGGAACCTTACACCTCAAAGCAAGGCTTGGTGCAAGAGGACCGGCGAAGATCCGATGCGGGCACAGGTGCCCAAAACCGCAAACATAAACCCTAAACCCCTAAACCTTAAACCCCGAAAGCCCTTAAGCCCTTAAAGGCCCGTAAACCCTAAACATCGCAAACGTCCCTAAACCCTGAAACCTGGAACCTGAAGCCGAGGCTCCACTTACAAGAGGGCGCGAAGATCCGATGATGCAGGCACAGGTGTCACAGGTGCCCAAATCCGGAAACATCAACCCTAAACCCCTGAACCTTAAACCCCTAAAGCCCTTAAGCCCAAAACCCTAAAACCCTAAAGCCCTACACCCCCAAAACCCTTTCCCCGGAGGACTGCCGACGCAGGCATCTGCCGGCATTGCTGGCGATGGCAAGCCTGGCTGGGCAGGAGGAGAGAGGTTTCTCTCATACCTCGGTTTAGGGCTTATAAGGTTTAGCTTCGGGTTTAGGGTCTAGGGTTTATAGGGTTTAGGGTTTATAAGGTTTAGTTTAGGGTTTAGGTTTAGGCTTCTGGATTTGGTAAGCCCGACACAAAGCCAGGAGACCGCGACCGCCAGTTCCGGTTTCGTGCGTGGCAGCGGAACCCAGCCGCTTGGCTGTCGTGGGATGCAGGGCTGGGGCTTGCAGGGCATACAGGGTTTAGTTGTTTCAGTATATAGGGTTTGGGGTTTCGGGGTATTGTTGCTAAGCCCCTGAACGAAACCCTAAATCATGCTGGCGTATGCTGGCTCATCCTACATATCCATTCTACATCCATCTACATCCTCAGGTCGGACCAGCTCAAGCCAGCTGAGAAGACTGACACGTCTGAGGATGCCTGAAGGTTTTGGAATAGCTCCTGATACTCCGTTGCTGCAAAGCACTTGTGACGGGGATGACATCAGGAGCCTGGTGGCTGAACGTCTCCGTGTACCATTTTGAGATGTGACAGCTCGAATTGATGCATCGTGGATCATCGTGGCTCGTAGCGAGCCCAATTCCCTCTTGATACGAGGGTGCCGATAAGAGACGAGAGCTGCTCCCTCCGTGCAAACAGAAGGGCAGTGCATGGCCGTGCTTGGGTGCTTTCGACTTGGGAAGCCCACTGTCGGTGCCGTAGCCTCTGGCAACCCTAACCCATGGTTCCTTGCCCGCAGGCTACACGACGAAGGCGAGAAGCTTCGAGCAGAGCGGACGGAGGACCTCACCCGCAACCACAATCACCACAACCTCAAGCCGAACATAGCCGAACGATGGCCCTAGATTTGTAGCCTTTAGTAACCCGAATCACCCCGAGCCCACTATCCCCGCAGGAAGCTACATCAGCTGGAGCCGACGAAGGTGAGAAGCTGGAGGCGAAGCGGCGGGAGGACCTCGCCAGCCGAACGATAGTGATCGATCCGTAGCTCAGAGCCCACTATCCTTGCAGGAAGCTACATCGTCAGCTGGAGTCGACAAGGGTGAGAAGCTTGAGGCGAAGCGGCTGGAGGACCTCGCCCGAAACCTCCAACCGAATGACAGTCGTCGATCCGTAGCCTTCAGTAACCTGAACATACCTGAACCATCCGGTGCCCACTGTGCTTGCAGGAAGCTGCGCCGTCAGCTGGAGCCGTCAAGGGCGACAAGCTTCAGGCAGAGCGGCTAGAGGACCCCGCCCGAAACCTCCTAGTCATCGATCCGCAGCCTGGTGAGAAGCTTGAGGCGAAGCGGCTGGAGGACCTCGCCCGATGCTTGAAACCGAACCATAGTCGTCGATCCGTAGCCTTCGGTATCCCGAGCCCACTATCCTTGCAGGAAGCTACATCGTCAGCTGGAGCCGACAAGGGTGAGAAGCTTGGGGCCGAGGAAGTGAAGGACCTCAAACATAGGCAAAGGAAACTACTCCACGAGCCCACGATCACCGCAGGAAGCTACATCAGCTGCTGGAGCCGACGAGAGCGAGAAGCTTGGGGCCGAGGAAGTGAAGGACCTCAAACTTAGGCAAAGGAAACCACTCCACCGCCCGCGACATATCGACGCCGTCATATGCCGATATATGCCGGCGTATACCGTCGCAGCCCTAAACCCTAGGCATCCCTAAGCCATCCGAAGCCCTTGGTCGCAGGACTCGCGGTCAATGGAGCGTCAGAAGGTGCTGGGGCCGAAAGCAGAGAAGGACCCTCATCGATGCCGTCAAATGCCGTCATATACCGTCGCAGCCGAAACCCTAAACAACCGTGAGCATCCCGGAACCATCCGAAGTTTTTGGTCGCAGGACTCGGGGTCAGTGGAGCATCAGAAGGTGCTGAAAGCAGAGAAGGACCCTTATCGATGCCGTCATATACCGTCGCAGCCCTAAACCCTAGGCAACCCTATAAGCACTACGAGCTACGGCTTCTATCCGAAGCGTGGTGAGAAGCAGGTGCTGCTGTTCAGGCTGCAGGACGACAGCGTCGCCACGGGCTTGGTTTTGAGTGTCTTCCGAGGTGCCGTGCTCAAGCCAAAGGTTGCTGCGAAGGGCGAAGCCGCCACATGGCGAATGCGAGTCACGAAGCTGTCGACTGCTCCCCTTCCCTTGCACAGCTGTGCTCGGATCAGGCTGATGGAGCTGGCGCCCCGGAGCAAGCGCACGTGGACTGGCGCCCCGGTGAACACCGTCCACCGTCCACCTCGTGGACCCCATCAGGGTGGTCGTGGCCGAGATCAAGTACGTGCAGGCCCTGGAGGAGAAGGGCTGCTTGCACCTTCGCTTTTCCGATGAGGTGCCGGCGTTCCAAATTTAAAACCTTGCCCCTAGCCCTAGACATCCCTAGACCCAACCAGCCTGGCCAGGCCTTGGCTGCGAAGGCGAAGGTGCTGTTGGAGAAGCCGTGGACCAAGGAAGCCCGCCGCCGGCGGAGGCCCCTGCAAAGGCTCCGGAGCCCCTTGCCGGCTTCTCGTTCAAGAACTTCGCAGGCACCTCGTCCAGCAAGAACGTCCTGGAGAAGCTCCCTGGAATGTACGAGGAGCGCGATTTGCTCCTCCTTCTTCCTCCTTCTGAAAGTCTCTAGTCTCTTTCGAGCGGTTTGCTCCTTCTGCTGAAAGTCTCTAGTCTCTTTCGAGCGGTTTGGTTCTTCTTCTGAAAGTCTCTGGTCTCTTTCGAGTGGTTTGCTCCTCCTTCTGAAATTCTCTCGTCTCTTTCGAGCGGTTTGCCCCTTCTTCTGGAATTCTCTAGTCTCTTTCGAGCGGTTTGCTCCTTCTTCTGAAAGTCTCTAGTCTCTTTCGAGCGGTTTGCTCCTTCTTCTGGAATTCTCTAGTCTCTTTCGAGCGGTTTGCTCCTCCTTCTGA